TTCTTCTTCTTCCTTTCTCTTCCTGTCCTCCATAGCTCCTCCTCCTACCCTTCAGGAGCTCTTCTTCTTCTTCTTCCGAGAGAGAGTGAGAGAGAGAGTTGACATTGAGACTTGGTGACTTTTCGGCTATGCCCAGTTCAGTGACATTGTGGCTTGGGCAGTGTGTGAGCAGCGACATTGGCTGTTTATTGGAGACTGGGTTCATCGGGCTATGGTGGCAGATCTCCCCCATCTCCTCTTCTCCTTCGCATCATCTCCCCTCATTTCGTCTGTGTATGGCATATAGGACTCAGCGCCCCTTCTATGATTGCAGCGCAGAGTCTTCTTGGAGTCTCTTCCCCACATTGTGATAATGATGGTTGTTCAGTCCTTGGCATCGGTCGTGTTTGAGCCAGATTTTGTGGTGCTTCATCCAGGCTGGGGTCCGTGGGAATTCTCATTGGGGGAATTAGCTGGGACTGCTGACCCTTGGGGAAGCCTTGGGTAGAAGGGATCATGCTTAGGAAAGGGGAGGGTGGGATGCGGAAGGGTGGTTCACTGCCTATAGAGTCTGCGGGATGAGTCGCTAATGGGGGATGACTGCACATGTGTGGACCCCACCTCTGCCCGGGTCGTCCTTAACATTAGAGTTAGGGTAGTGTCTGCACGAAGACATTCGGGTCAGTCTGGTAAGCGTTGGTGCAGATCACGACTTGCAATCTGAGCATTAGCATAGGTCATGTCATCATGGTGCCACCTTGGGGTGACTCCCCTTGGGCCCTCGCAATCCATCTGACCTCCCAATGGAGGAGTACTACGGGCACCTCCTGAGGCCTGGCTTCCACCCTCTACTACACCCTGGACCGTCTTTTTGTAGAAAAATAATCATTTTTTAAAAAAAGAAAAGAAAAGGGGTTGTTGTGGTCACTGTTTAAGACACACAAGCTTGGTGAAAGTCCATCGGAAGAAGTCTTCGCTATCTGTCCTTCGGGGCATCCGTTAAGATTGGAACGATACAGAGAAGAAAGCATGGCCCCTGCGCAAAGATGATATGCATAAATCGAGAAATGGTCCAAATTTTCGACAGAAAAGGAGCAGAAGCAGAAGCAGAAGAAGAAGAAAAAGAAGAAGAAGTTGTCGCAACCACCCTTCTCTTTGTTGGGTTGTATTTTAGTGAATGCTAAACAAATATATGCCAGCAGTTATTCCTGACTGAATGCGTTTGTAGAGTGGATTTGATAGCTGTGATGGAATAATGCCCAAACGCGCTGCTGTTAGTGTGAGGAGGTTGAACTAGAAAGCCTGCTAGGATTGCAGGCTTGGTGTTATTAAAGTTGACCTGTTCTATTGTTTACACTGCACAAGGTGGTGAGTGCTTATCCATCAGCAAAATGTGTCCTTGGCAGACTGGTCAACCTTCTGATGATTCTCCAACAGCCGGCCGAGACAGCCCGTCACAGTCACCCATTTTTTCGCAAAGTTTTGCAGCGAGTGTGTAATGCACGCGTGCATGTGTGTGTGGACATGCAGATGAGCACTTGTGCTCATGCATACAGTACTGTACTCATGTACGGCACCCTGACATGGCATGTCCAATTTGTAGATGGGCTGGAATGGCAATGCCTCAATAATTGCGGTCCACGTGCCTCTGGGTTCCTAGCATGTAAGAGCCACGTAGCCTGTGACATCTGTCTGCACCGTGCCATTCGATGCAGCAACTGTGACTGCAAAAATTGGATGTGGTGCTTCCATAGCCCACACCCGAACCGGTCCTGTCCGGTCTCTAGGGGTGGCCACTTGCCATAGGCATTAACTGCTCCTCAACCCACAAAAAAAAAAAAATTGCAACCCTGTGCCATTCTAGAGTAGTCTGTTCCAGCCGTGAATATTTAGAATTCTGCGAAGCTCGTCATACACCTCTCCCCTGCCCTTTGCATGTCCTACTCTATCCTGCCCTTCACATGTTTCTTTCCTGCCCTTTGCCCCCACCTCCCCTGCCCTGTACTCCTATACAACTCCGCCTTCTATCCCTTTCTGTTACGGACTCCGCCAGGGCTCGATCCCTGGTCTATCTTTTTGCCGTTTCGGCCTGGCAGGCTGGCACCGTTTTTCCAAACCCCTCCTTTGGTACCGTAGGATTTGGGACAACTGTCGCCATGCTGCAATTCGGGCGCCACTTTCAAATACCGCATTTTTCAGCACCTGGTACCGTACGTGTCACCGGTACCGGCTCCCCGTACGATACGGGGACCAGTCTCGCACCAGTTTTCAGCTGCTGTGCTCGTACTCAGTGTGACTTGCTCCTGTTTCGGCATTCGGAATCCAAGACTT